AAGGGAAGAAGCAACCTAACTGCCTATCAACTGGATACTGGATAAAGATGTGATTTTTTTTTTTTTTACAAAATGGAGTACTACTCAGCCATAAAGAATGAGAAACTAGAGACATTTGTAGCTAAACAGATGCACATTGAGGCCATACTCTTAAGTGAAATAAATAGAATACACATGTGTAAATACTGAATAGTTTCTCTGGTGTGAAAAACTAGAAGTGCAAATAAGAATCAAAATGTATAGTTGATATTGTGTAATAGGAAGAAAAGGTCTAAAGGAGTAGGGGAAGTGAGGGGGTAGGGGAAAGGAAAGAGGGGAAAAGAAAAAACAGAAACAAAGTCTTTGTAAACAGAGAAGGGTGGAAGGGATGAAGGGAGGGCAGGGGAATGGGGAAAAAATAAGAACCAAGATACATCATGTGAAGGTACAAAATCTCAATGATGAATGTAACTGTATTGTATACCTAAAATGTACCAATAAACTTAATGAAAAAAAAGCACGAATAATTTTTCCCAATTTGAGTTTGCCTTTCTTCCTTCTAGACAAAATTTCCTTGCTAAAATGCAAAGTGAGGTAATATTAAGTTCTGTAATATCCTCAATTGTATTTGATTAATCCTGCATTTTTGAATAAAATTTCTAGGAATTTATATTACATATATCTTATTCACTCTATTTCTTTTCCAGAAAAATTATGCTCACATACAGTCATGTAGAAATGCATTCATTGAAGGAAGCCAGTAATTTCCTGTTTGGCATTTTGAGCTGAAATAGAAAGGTTGGACATTACTTCTCCTTTTGGTTATTACTTTGTTATGAATGAAGCTTCTAGCAGTTAAAGTCAAAGGTGAAGACCAACACATTTCCTAGCTCTATCTTTCAGCCATCTACTAGTAGTGTTGAAGACAACAAATGGAAACACTCTATGTGCCTCAAAATAATTTATGAGAGAAAACAGAGGTCGCACTGTTAGCAGTAAATAAATTAGTAGGAATTATGTCCACTTTTAAGGTGGCTTTTAGAGATGTTCCTCAAGAAATCTGACATAATGCCTGGCTGGAAGAAATAACACCTGTGTGCATGCTATTTGTTTTTGAAAGACATAAATGAAACATGTAATGCAGAACTGATTGTGACTAGGATCCTAGACACTGCTTCTGAAAAACCAAACTCTCTTGGTATGACCAAGAAGACCCTTAGGAAATTGAACTCCAAGAGTAGAGTGCTTTATACACATTGTTTTGCAAATTACAAGGATAGGGGATTAAAATCAATCAAAGAAAAATATTTTGAAGCCAACTGCTGCATAATTCATCCCCTTTGCTTCTAAGGGTTTATTGTAAAGAAATCTATTTCTGATCAAAGGAATTGTTCATAGGTCTTTAAAGCTTTTAAAAGATTATAGTATGCTAAATACTTGCAACAGAACTCTGAATAAGGCTGTGAAATTGCCCCGTAAAATACAAGAGATGGAAAATAATCAACTTTGTGTCTTTGAGTGTTTTACTGTGTGCCTTAGTTTCCTTATCTACATGGTATGTGGTGTGTGTATGTGTGTGTGTGTGTGTGTGTGTGTGTGTGTGTTGTAGTGGAGGGGAAGAAATTAGATTAAATGACTTTTGATCCTACTTCTCTGACATTAATGA